TGTTGTCCTTTTCCAGAGGTAAGAATAAATGCAACTTCTTGAATAACATTTTCATGTGAATTAATGGAATCTACAATGCCATTTTTTCATTGTCCAGTTTCACCAAGACTCTCTTAAGACTTTACTCGGCTCTGTCCAGGTGGTTTGAAATGAGTACCTTCTCAATGTGAGCAGGATCGTAATATAGCTTGGCTGTTCGACAATAGCGTTACTTTCAACGTATCCATGTTGAAATGGAGCTTACCACTAAATGGTTAAGAGGGGAAATAAAGTTGCTGAACACTCGTGATTCTCTGCCATGGTTTCCAAAAAGGCTTTTGCCAATTTAAGGCTGCCTTCCCTTTGCTAGTTGGCAACCATAAATCAAGTTAATTTCTGTCTTTGGTCAACCTTGCTCAGAATTCTATCAGCCAACAAACAATGGTGGGATGGTTCTTATGAAGGAAACACTCACGATTGATGTTGCTCTCTGACCTTTCAATAGCCAGCAGTCTGCTGACATCAGATCTTTACCTTGCCTCAGCTTGCTTGGAAATTTTGCCAAGGAGATCCTAAGAACAGTGCTGGAAATGGGTGGGATCACCAAATAATAAAACTCATAACCCTTACACAGTGAGGAGCTGAGTAGGGTCAATGCAAGCCCATGGAAAAGAGCAAGTAGATATTGATGATTTATTATCTTTCACATCTTTTTATCCTCAGGCTGTTTGTTGTGCAGACTTCATCCACTGCTGTCCAAAAGGTAGAACATGTAACCTGGCTGCTCAGACATGTGATGGTGGACTACTGTCTGTTCCCTTGGTCAAGAAGGTTCCCTCAGTTCCCAGAAAAGATGTTGAACTGGATGTGAAGGTTGTCCCATGTGAAGGCGGTGTCGCGTGTCCCGATGGCAACACCTGCTGTAAAAACAAAGAAGATCTCTGGGCTTGTTGTCCGCTGCCACAGGTAACATTTTGTTTGCTTTTGTTTTGTTTTTAGTTTGTTTTTAGGGGTTCCTTTTAACATGTCCAATTTTGAAAAATGAGTAAAAACATCAAATCTTAAAGTAACCTTTTAGCCATTTTTCTAGGCTTTATTTTGTTTTGAACAAGGCTGAACATATATTTTTCTTTGTTTTAAGTTTATTTTGATGCTCAATCTTCAAACACATTTGTAGCAAGATGAATCCAGCTTCTTGTAAATCGGAAGTATCCTCCCTCTGAGTACAGGTTGCTATTTCAGTGCTGAATTTACATGTGTCCCTGAATATTCTCATTTACGCTCAGGCTACTTTCAGCTCATTTATTTTTGTCCACAGTTAAAAAATTACAATTATAAAACATAAGCATGTCATAAAAAATAATTTTCTTTATGATTGAGAGCTAACAAAAAAGCCAAAGATTTTACCATGCCAAAGGGGAGTGAGATTAATCTGCGTATGAATTTAGCTGCATTACAGAAAATCTCATGCAGTTGGAAATCTAGATGTTCAGTTTTAAATTACAAAATATATATTTTTTGAACTTTTGACCTTTTTGATGAAAGTTAAAAAAATAAAGGTTAGCTAAATATTAAAAAGCAGCAGAACAATAGCAAAGTGCTCGTTAAAAGTATCAGAACAGTAGCTAAAAGTAGCAAAAGGCTAGCCAAAAGTTGAAGCAAGTGGAATCACCAAATGGAAATAATGGTAGCTAAAGGGAATAACACTAGCTAAAAGTAGCCTAAGAAAGAGCAGCTCTGCTGCAGCAGATTCCAAACAAAACTTTTTTTTTATGGAATTAGGGTGATCTCTAAAATATAAACGTTACAAACCCCAGAAGTCAGAGCACACGTGACCTGGATGAGCTGGACATTCTGAAATATGAATGATTAAAAAGTGTACATAAGTAGTTAAACTGCAAAAATACAGGGGGTAAATGTCCTGATGGTGCTCAATGATCCAGGAAGATACATCTGACAAGGTTGAGTTTGGTCCTTTGGATGGATTCTTCTTATCCAAAAGACTTCTTCAGTCTGAAGCTGCAACCAACTCAGTTTCATGAGCAGCACCTTATTGGATCAACCAGTTTACAGGTTACAGACAAAACTAGTAAGAAACCAAGCAAACTCAGGGTCAGAGTCGGTGTCAGAGATTCTTTATTGTCATTGCACCTCATGTGGTACATGTGGTGGAGCGAAATTATGTACACAGGGTCCCAGTTACATCCAACAATCAAATGTATAATAAAAACAGTAATAACATCCAAGATATGAACTAAGAAAAACATCAATTACAAATACACTAAGCACTAATAGCATAAAAACATTACGTCGAACATCAGCACAAACATGAACATGAGTCTGTGTGAGCAGATGTGCACGCATGAACACATCAACATGGAACAGATCAGCAGCAACATGGAACAGATCAGCAGCAACATGAAACAGATCAGCAGCAACATGAAACAGATCAGCAGCAACATGATGTGGTTTTTCACAGTGATTCTCCTGGTTAGAGATTCATGAGTCTAACAGCCTCAGGGTAGAAGCTGTTCCTCAGTCTAGTGGTTCTACACTTAATGCTCCTCAACCTCCTTCCTGAGGGGAGTGGGGCAAAAAGTGTGTGTGCTGGGTGGGTGGGGTCCTTCATGATGCAGGTGGCCCTCTTCCTGCATCTGGAGGTGTAGATGTCTGTGATGGTGGGGAGACTGATTCCAACAGATTTCTGTGCAGCCTTCACCACTCTCTGCAAAGCTTTCCTTTCTGCAGCTGTGCAGCCTCCATGCCACACGTTGATGCTGGAGCACAGGATGCTCTCCACTGCACACCTGTAGAAGGAGGTGAGGACTGAGCTTCCCAGACCAGCTCGTCTCAGCCGTCTGAGGAAGTAGAGTCTCTGATGAGCTTTCTTCATCAGGCTGGTGGTGTTGTTGCTCCAGCTGAGGTTGTTGTTCATGTGTACACCCAAGTACTTGTAGCTGGAGACCACTTCCACCGCAGATCCTCTTATGTTCAGGGGGGTGTAGGTGTGTTTGTTCCTTCTGAAGTCCACGATCATCTCCTTTATCTTCTTCACATTGATGTGAAGATTATTCTCTTTACACCAGCTCTCCAGGTGTTCCACCTCCTGCCTGTAGCTGGCAAACCTTAAGCAACAGTGTAAACATTCACTCAGTTATGTCCAGCACAAACAATTACTCCGTAAGGCAACCAAAGAGGTAAGTAGAAAAACAAAAGTGTGGATCTCTGGCTGCAAATGTTGGAACGAGTCCTTTAAACCACGACACTTTGAACACTTGATGTTTTCAAAGGACGTCCAGACGGATCTGGTTGAAGCTCCTCTGCTCTCGTAGAGCTCGTGTAGTAAAGGTGTTTCTGCCGTCCCTGCAGGCGGTGTGCTGCAGCGACAGGATGCACTGCTGTCCCAGCGGCTCCACCTGCACTGAACAAGGCTCCTGTGTGCAGAACCCAGAGCTGAACTGGTCCAACTGGAACTGGTTCTACGCCAACAAGAAGAGAACTCAGACGCTGTGAAAACTCAGCCGTCCGTCATTTTTCTAAATAAATAAAATCGACCTTAAATTCTTTGTTAGAAAACTGAGGGAATTGTGAGGGGATGCACTTTGATTCTGATTATTTAAATAACTTTGTCATCTTGGAGTTTAAAGTTTCTGTCTGCACTAAAATATCTACCATGGGGGTAAATTGTTTGCACACTTTTTTTAATAAGCATAAACTCTAGGCAAAATTGATTTTCCATACCAATTAAGTGGATTCATGTTCTATTTTTAACAATAATCAGCCATTTTACATGAAATATTTGACTTTAAATATGACACAGCGAGACTGTTCTTTTTCCAGTCAACTTTATTCATAAAGCACATTTAAACAGCAGCTGTTACTAAAGTGCTTAACAATAAAAACCAATGGATTTTATTCTACCTCGTGTTGAATGAGCAGTGATGTCTGTTGATCTGTTTTACTCATAAACTTTGTATGAAGCAGGTTTGGGATGTAAAGATTAATAAACATTTGTTGATCTTATTTATGTGACACAGTTGAGTTTAATACTAATTTGATCAAGTTTGAACTGGAAATAAACCATTGGGTAATGTTTTATTTATTTATTTCTAACGTTGATCAAGATTTGTTGTATTAAATCTGTTTTATTATCTTAAACTGGGAAAACGGTAACTTCCACAAATACAGGATGAGTCCACAAACAAAAAAATAAATCTAGAAATGTGCAAGTGTTCATAAATTTTTATTATTTCACAGTTATTGTTAATTTTAAACTTATTATTTATCAGCCAACTACTGGAGTGAGCACATTTTAGTGTTTGACTGCAATGAGACGATGACAAAATGTACCAAATATCAGCAAAATATTTGATCAGACTGTTTTACTGGTAATAGTTGTAACACAATGAGATATTTTACAATTTGGGAGAAATTAACTTTAACTGTAAGTTTCTTAAATTTTGTCAGGAGAAGAGCAGGTGGGTTTATTTAGAACCAGAACTGGATTTTGTTAACCCTTGTTTTTTCCAAGACCTTGAAGAAAAGACAGAAATGGTTTACAGTTTTGTTAGAAGTAGAGAAAATGTTTGTGTTGAGGTCATAATTTAACTCCTAAAAACATCAGATATTTTTATTTTTAATTTGTGGCGTAATAAATAAACCCAACCCCATCAAGATCCTCCACTGTGTCCACAACACAAATACCTGATGGGCTGTTTATTTATTTAATTATTATTTTTCAAAAGTTATTTATGATGGCAGTGCCACGTGTAACAGGCTATAAATTACAAACATGAGACATCTTTCTTTAAGCAGTGATGAATCAGAACATATAACAATAAATACTGTTATTTAATCACTTTAAACATCTGTTCAGCGCAGACTGCTCCTCCTGCCAGCAGGGGGCGGTAGAGCTCAGGTTTTAAAGCGTCTGTGCGTCACCTCTGATAAACTCACATTATATTTATAAAATAAAAAATATATATATTTTAAAAAATGGTATTACATTTTATTTATAATTTTAATAGAACAATATTAATAATATTAATTAATATTATTTTTATAATGTAATAATATCCATAATATTTATTATTTAAAATAATAATAATTATTATTGTTAAATTAAAAAACGTGGCGACAGCATGAGATTGTTTCAGATTGTTGCTTTTATGAGTTTTTATTTCGATAAATGTAGCCTGTTATGTTACTTTTCGTCATTAGAGGCAAAAATAAAGAAGCAATAAAAACAAATCACAATCCACAACACAAATAAATGGCATTTTACTTTAAATCTATTTGAAAAAAATACATTTAAAACACATATTTTAAATTTTTAATTGCTCTATCTTTGGTTTTTATGTTTTGTATAGTTAATTCCTTGAAAGTTTTACTTTGTAAAGTGAGTTTTTTCTGTGTGTTTAGGATATTTTATATATAGGGGGGTTTTTATGTCACGTTCTTGTCGTTGCTGCAAACTTTTTACCTAATGTTTTGGACTTTCAGGCCACCGTAGCCAACTCAATAAATGTCACAAGCTGAAAACAGGGAGGTAACCATCCTTTGAAGGCCTGACAACAATGGGTCATACGATATGCTTACGGTGTTTAATGTGACAGAATAACGGCTCATCTCAGGAGAATACGACCAGACTTAGACCAATAAACCAAATCGAGTGATGAGTGAATAAGTGACACGTGAAGGCATTATTAATCCCTCTGTGGTCATAATTCATGCAGGCAGCCATGTTGGATGTGGCCGAGCTGGATTTCTCTCCATAGATCCGTTTTAAGTCTCAGTATTTGCCCGGCTTTGTTGGAAAAGAAGCCGTGTTTGTGATTCAAACGGCCCATCCTCTGAGACTCCCTGCAGACTCGGTCTATTTGCCAGGCAGAGCGGTGACACAGTTCTTCACTGATTGCCACGCTGAGCAACATTATGCACTTTGCAACCTACTTAGACAACAGAAGAAGTTTCCAAACTGCACCAGGTGTCCAAAGACTTTGCTCTTGCTTTCTTTTACCTCCACGGAGACAAACGGCTGCAAGATGCTCGGGATCGTTCTCGGCCTGACGTTTAGCTGCAGTTTGCACTTCCTGCCGTGTTTCTTTCAGACTCCGACCTGCACGGTCAGTTTCATGTGTCTCACCTTTCCTGTTTCTGACAAACCTCCTGAGAGAAGGAGCACCCAGCTCGCTGCAGCCGAGCGGAACAAACACCTGCTCTGTAACATCTCGCCAGCGTCGGAGCAGCAGATCTATAACGCCTGCATTCTGCGTCATTAAGCTCCTGTGGCTTATTGATTGGGACGTTGCTGACTTTGGCCTCGGGAGTGCTGAGTGGCACTTTGGAGCCTCGAGGTGTCTCACTCACCGCTGTGGAGGGCTCTCTCTGAATACTTGCTTGGTTTTTCTGATACATATGATCATAAAACTTTGTTTTTCTGAAGAAACACCAAAGTGGCAAATTCTAAAATGCAACAATTTCATAAATATCCCCGTCCTGCTTGAGCTTGTTTTGATCCAATGGTCATCCTGCCCCACAGCTCTGGATGCCCCTTATTTATGGACAAGTAGTACAATAATTTTTCATCAACACCTGCCCTGACCTTAACGCAAACTCATATTTTTCTTAGCTGCCCGAGCAGGGAAGTTCCAACAATGAGCCGTGCTCTGGCCCAAAGTTCTGCAGAATGGGCAGCATAAACAGACGTTTCCTCTGATTCCTGCTGCTTCACAAACCTCCCAGCAGAACACGCTGCTGCAGTAAACAGGAGGCAAGCAGCAATAAATTTAAATCCAGTGACTCTGTCAGCGTAGGCTTGGCTTGTGAATTATTATACCTGAAAGAACCTTTCAGAAAGTGTGGAAGCTCATTCCTGCCACTCTGAAAAAATGAAGACAAAATTACAAGATGCCATCTCACAATTAGAACAACAAAAACATTATTTCATAGTTTTGACTTAGCAAAGATTATAAGTCCAAGTCTAATAATCGTGATCATAAAAACGTATTTCACAACTTTAAAATGCCAAGTCATAATTTTAGGGTGTATGTCAGCAATTTATTATCCATCCATCCATCCATTATCTTTACCTGCACCTTCCTTTTCAGGTCATGGGGGTCACTGGTGCCCAAGTCCAGCCATCACTGTGTGAGAGGCGGGGGACACCTTGGATCAGTCTCCGGTCCATCGCAGAGACACATTGAGACAAACAACCATTCACTCTCCCACTCACACCTAGTGACAATTTAGAGTTACCAGTCAGCCTAACGTGCATGTTTTTGGTCTGTGGGAGGAAACTGGAGTACCTGGAGAAAACCCACGCATGCACGGAGAGAACATGCAAACTCCACCCAGAAAGGCCCCCGGACCGGGATTTGAACCAGGGACCTGCTCGCTGAGGCAGCAGCTCTACCAACTGTGCCACCGTGCTGCCCATAATTAATTATAAGTCATAATAATTAATTATTAATAATATATTATATATATATACAGGGAGTGGTGGTGCAGAGGTTAGAGAAGGTGGGCCTGTGATCGGAAGATCGCCGGTTCAACTCCTGGTACCGACAACATCAAAATGTGGGTGGGATAGGTGGAACACCCGCCTACACCCTCATTTTCCCCCCACTCTGAGCCCTTGAGCAAGGCCCTTAACTCCCACCATCTGCTCCCCCGGACACCCTAGATGCAGCGCTCTGCTCCACACAGAGGCCGTGGTAGCTCGGTGTCTGTGGTTGCATCAGGAAGAACATCTGGTGTAAAAATAATCACCAAGTCTTTGTACGACGTAGTTCGCTGTGGCGACCCTGAAGAAGAGAGAAGCCAAAAGAAAGAAAAATTCAGTTTTACTAAACCATAGAGTATTTTAAATTTTTTAAATGGTAAGTCAATAAAATAATGTGCTAAATCACGATGTGCTGTTTTAGAGATAGAAACTTACATTTTCACGATAATAAGTCATTATTTTGTGCATATCTCAACAAAGCAAATTGTTGTAAAAATAAAATGCGATCTCAAATTTAGAACGACAAACGAGTCACAATTATGAGTGTTCATCATTTTAAGATGTTGAGTCATAATAAAATGCTAGGTTATATGTGTAAGACTAAATAATACGAGAAATTAAGTCGTAATTTATAGATTTTAAGTCATAAATTCAAGGGGGTGTTTCAGAATTATGAAATGCTGTCATTATCACAAGACATAAGTCAAATAAATAAGAAGTCATCTATTTTGAAATGCTAAGCCGTGTTTATAAAATGTTTAATCATAATTATGAGGTGGTAACTTGTTTGAAGATAGTAACTTATAATCATGTTATACTAAGTCATAATTTGAGATAATTTTTATAATTGTAAGTTGCTGAGTTATATTTTGGAGATTATCTCAGAATAATGAAATTATATCATAATAATAAGATGCTAAGTCACGTGTGTACGACTCTAAATCAGAATATGCAATGCTGAGTCATGCCTTCGAGGGAAAATCTCAGCGTTATAACATGCTGTCATATTTACAAGACGCTAAGTCATAGTAAGAAGATGCTAAGTCATATAAAAAATGCTGTCATATTAAAAATTAATTCATTCAACCTTTATTTAGACAGGTAAATCCCATTGAGCCTCGAGGACTCATTTAGAAGAGAGACCTGAAAAATACGCGAAGTCATATTAAAAATACGCAAAGTCATATTAAAAAAATGCTAAGTCTTATTAAATTGATCCTAAGTCATAGTAAAAAAAAAAAAAAGCTCAATAATATTTAAATGATGCCAAGCCATATTAAATAGATCCTAAGTCATATTAAAAAGATGCTAAGTCATATTTAAAAGATGCTCAATCATATTTAAATGATACTAAACCATATTAAATAGATCTTGTCATATTAAAAAGATGCTAAGTCATATTAACTAGATCTTAAGTCATATTTAAAAAAATGCTAAGTCATATTAAATATATCCTAATTCATATTAAATAGATCCTAAGTCATATTTAAAAGATGCTCAATCATATTTAAATGATACTAAACCATATTAAATAGATCTTGTCATATTAAAAAGATGCTAAGTCATATTAACTAGATCCTAAGTCATATAAAAAATGCTAAGTCATATTAAAGAGATGCTAAGTCATATTAAAAAGATGCTAAGTCATGATTAAAAGACTATACTATAAGACACTAAGTCATATTAAAAATATGCAGTCATATTAAATAGATCCTAAGACATATTAAAAAATGCTAAGTCATGTTAAATAGATCCTAAGTCATATTAAAAAGATGCTCAATCATATTTAAATGATGCTAAACCATATTAAATAGATCTTGTCATATTAAAAAGATGCTAAGTC